GAACTGAACACTTGCAACCTTAGCATCTGTCTGCTTTTTACCCCAGTAGGGAGTCTATGAATAAATGTATGTACATATTTGTGAAGATTGCTTGTGAAATAAGGGTTTAATCTCGCATTTTCAGGCTCCCTTGAAGATGAAAATCTTCTGGTATAATTTGTGAAAAGGTTTAGAGCCTACTTTTTCTGCTTTGTGAAACTGGAAGCATGGGGAAATGATTACTCATTCTCATCTCAAACGTGGTGGAAAAAATATTAATGAAAGGTCTGACAATTCCTGACGCTTGATTTAAATCAAGATAGAATTGTTAACCCTGACAACATTTATTTTCTTTATAAGAGCTTTTCAAAGCCCTAAATTTCATTATATGTCTGAGATATCTATATATAAAGAAGAACAGTTCTCAGTTTTCTTTTGTCTGTAGGGGGTTCCTGAGCATTGGCTGTCAGTGAAAAGATGCCCAAGCTGATTTTATTCTCTACCAGCACATCCTTAACATGTCATGCAATATCATACATAAATACTCCTTTAGGAGCAGGAGGCATATATCCATCCTTGGTATTTATCTGTGCAGGTGTGCTATTTGTATATTCCAGGATAGTGAGATATTTGGGACATATTTGTAATACGCCCTTGCTATGTGAATGTGTCCTGAGCCTTCTGAACGAATACCAGTGGTGAAGATTAGCCCAGTGAATGCAATATGTCCTGTTTTCTTGGAAATCAAACTAGTCCTTCTTGTGTTTAAACAAACCAGTTCCTGAAAGACTGCAAGAAAGAGTAAGACTGACTTGTCTAATGTAGTAAGATTCATAGTAGTTCCCACATGTAGGTATTAAAAACATTTTAGTCTTGTAACATTTGTTATATGGATTAATGCATGTTAGTTAGCAAGGAAAAAAAAGGGTAAGTGTAACTTTCTGTAAGTTCCTTTTAAAAGGTGTTGAAAGTCAAGACATTAAGTAATTGGTTCTGAGTTGACTCTTAGTGATGAATTTGGTTCACAGAAGAGTCTGTTAAGCATATCAGCTTTTGGTAAAATAGTATGAGATATTAGATTGATGTTAGCTGTAGGTGGTTTTCTCAGCTGAATGTGTTGTTTCATGACTGATTTTAACAGACTAACTGGTCATTTTATTAGGCGGAAACTTGGGATCCTGGCAGTGCCTCCAGATGAGAAATGGAAGGCAGTATTTGAAGAGTGCTGGAACCAGCTTGGTTGTGAGAGCCCAGGCCAGGGGGACAGATGGAAGGCTTGGGACAACATTGCGGTGGCCCTGACCACCAACCGACGGCAACACAAAGACAGGTTGGTTTGTCATCAGTAAGATGAAGAAAGTATTGAGAGAGAAACTGGAATCGCACTCTACTCCAGACTTGAAACTAACTGTAAAAGCTCAGTTAAAACAACAGCAAAAAATCCTAAACAAAATCGGAACTCTTGATACTCTGCACTCAGGGTTTTTTTCCATGCTGTATGTCTCATAAACAATCTGTACCATGTCTTTGTGTCTTTTGTAACTGCAGCCCAGAATTATTGAGCCGCTCACATACTCAGACACTGGAAAGTTTGGAGTTCATTCCACAACACATTGGTGCCTTCACCCTGGAAAAATATGAAAATATTAAAAAATATTTGATAAAGGTATTGTGACTCTCAAATCCTCGTAGAGTTTGTTGGTAAGGCATGATGTCAAGCTCACTTTTTAATAGCTTTTCTTAATTCCTTTCATATTTGCACTGTGTAATCCATGTTGCATTCATTCATATTTGCACATAACTTTCTAATTTATCAAATTAAAATCCACAGCTAAGACTGAAATCATTGTATACCTAATGGATACTGCCTTAAAGTCAGTTTCTACTCAGTTAGTGTTTTAATTCCCACACACTGGATCCCAGCAAATCATATTGAAATACTTGCTAATAATTGCATGTTCATTTTAATAGGACTGGACAGATGATTTGTCCAAGTAGTAGCACAAGTTCTTGTACTGTCCTTACTCCTCTATGAGCTATATTCAGCTAACACATACAATTTATAATCTAAATGCAAATTTGTTAAATATAGCTCCTTTTTGGATGTGCTTTAGTTTGTCTGGCGTTGACCTATCTGACTGGTCAATTAATATCTTTCACCTCAGGCTTGTGATACTCCTCTACATCCACTGGGAAAACTGGTGGAAACACTAGTAGCTGTCTACAGAATGACCTATGTTGGAGTAGGAGCTAATCGACGATTGCTGCAGGAGGCTGTAAGAGAGATAAAGTCCTACCTCAAACGTATCTTCCAATTGGTTAGGTAATGAGACTCTAATTTTCAAGTCACACTACTGCTGAATTAAAGATGTCATGTATTGAAGCTGTCTACTGCTTATGCAGTCCAAGCATGCCAGTATCTTTACTCCGTTTTGGGAGTTGCTTCTCTTTCCTTAACCTTTTTAAGGAGTCTTGAATATTCTGTCAAAATAGGAAAATTAAAATCTTCACCACAGTGTATTACATCCTACATTGTACTGCCAGATATGGCTGTAGGAAGGTTGTCTTGAATGTGGATTTTCAATTCATTGTCTCTGTATATCTGTGCTGTGGAAAGACAGTGTTCAAAGGGTACGGAAGAATGGTGAGGATGGGAATTCGCAGTGTATTCCTTTAAAATTCTTACCAACATGAATGAGCAACATTCCAATGACGTGTTTGCTTAGGTTCTTGAGAGCAATTACAGCTTTAATTGGGTCCTACCAATCTGAAAGAAAAATTACTCCAAATTATTAATTATTTGAAGCCTTGTCTTGAGGGAAGTGATGCCAAGGTAGGAAAGGCATTGGAGGGGTTGGCCTTCATCAGTTTTCTTCCAGGTAGATGGTATTGTACAACTACTAGCTATGCTGTCTTAGTCCACCATGTATTATTTCAGCTGACATTTTTTCCTCTCCAGTTTTGCCTTCCAATGCTGTGATTTGTGGATACTTCTTGAAATGAAATTGTCTGTTATGTGTATTGCTGTTTAGGTTCTTGTTTCCTGATCTTCCGGAAGAGGGCAGCACAATTCCATTTCTGGCAACAGAGACAAAGGGAAGGCGATCCTTTTGCAGTGGGAAATCTGACTCCAGATCAGAATCTCCTGAGCCAGGGTACATGAAAGATAAAAAACAAAACTGAACTAATGAAGGCTTCGTTCTATTTCTGTTCAGTTTTTTCTCGGGTGGGGGAAGAAATTTAAGCACCTATTTAATTGATTGATACAAGCAGGGTTTTTTTTCCTTTGGTTCTGATGACAGATTCTGATAAACAATATTATAGTTTATACATATAATTAATATAGATAATGAGTTCTAGATAATTATATTCTTAAAATGTCTTCCTCTTCAAACCACCCCTTTGTTGTTGTTGGGTTTTTTTTTTGTAGCTATGTGGTAACCAGTTTTGGCTTGCTGCTCCCTGTATTGCTGCCACGACTCTATCCTCCTCTATTTATGTTATATGCCTTAGACAACGAGCGTGAGGAAGATATTTACTGGGAATGTGTTTTACGTCTAAACAAGCAAACTGATATGGCTCTTCTAAGTTTTCTTGGAGTGCAAGCGTGAGTATGCTTCAATAATAAGACAAAACTTAGAAAAAGACAATGGCGTGCAATTAGATAAAGCAAGTAAAAAGAACCCCTCTATTGTCTACACTGTTTTTTCTTTCGTTAAAATGCATCTAAATATATCTTCAAGCTAAATAGTATAGTTGAGAGAGTGAATCAAAACATCCCCCTTCCAAAAAGGGATAGGGAAAGGAAAAATAGATTGACATTGCTACAAAACCAGAGCGAGGTGTTTCAAATTAAGCTATTTTCCAGCTATTTGTGCTAGGTGTAGTTGATCCTGTAGAAAGACCTGTTGTTTATCAGAAGAACATGATGACTTTATTTTCATAAGGTGAAAAATGTTTTAAGACTATGTTCTCTCAATATATATTGCACTTCTTACAGGAAATTTTGGCCAGGAACTGTATCCATCCTTGGAGAGAGTAGAAAGGTATGTTCATTAGACCTTGATTTAAAGTATGCTTTGCTCAGTGCTTTTTTCAAGAAACTGAGATCATGAAGTGATCAAAGAAATTTTGGTCAGGCTTTTTGCTTAAAAGATGCTATGCTGTGTTGTTTCCTTAACATTTGTCTGCTACTTAAAAACTACATTAGTGATTTTTTACAACAGCTGTTCGTCCAGGTTTGTCACTTACTGCCTTTCCATGTAATGAATTTTAATGCAGGAAGACATTTGCTTCATCTCCAGTTATGGAAGTGTGAGAATAAAAGTCTACCAAGGACATTTTCAAGCTGCTTGTTTAAGAGAGTTATACGATTGTATACTTTCTGATTAGGAGAAGAATTGTATAGTTTTTATTCTTAATCATTATCGTGCTGAAAATGTCTGAACACTGGTCTTGGATGGTAATAGTGTAGTAACTCAGTCTCTGTGCTCCAGTAAGACTGGTTTAATAATCATAACTTTGACTAATTTCAATGTTTACAGTATACTTTTATTTGAAATGTTCAGTTTCTTATAGTCATTTAGATAATCCTGCCTTCAGATAATCCTCTTCCCTATTTATAACTGTGGCTTGTGTGAAGTTTGTAATAATCAGAAGCATGGCTTTCATCATAGTAGTTGCTGCACACAGATGAGCTGATAGTCCTTGATAGAGATCAAGTGTTCACAAGTTTGTAATAAATAACCAAAGCCACTGCTGATCCCCATCCCTGAGACTATGGGTTCCCAGCAAAACAAGTCCCCTTTTTCCCAAATCATGAAGTTGAAGATTCACCTGAGAATCTCCATTCAGACTTTAAATGTTACAAAATCCAGCAATAACATGTTTCTTGAGTTACTTCAGATCTTCTGTATTTGTAGATACTGGGCAAAATCTGAATGCGAAGCTTCGCGCAATCTGAATCCTTCACGCTTCTGACAGACTATTTTTGGTTATAGTGTGGAGCCCCTCCGCTGTGAAGCATTACATGTCCATGTGTCTTCTCTGAATTAGGCAGTATATGATGCTCTCTGGAGCTGTTTACCATGTACCACGTGCCAAGGAATTCAGTACAGGCTTTCCTGAATTTTAAATGAGACTCATACAAATTATTTGTAGGCAGATTACCTGTATGACTTTAGCATCCAGGCACATTCTCTTGTCTTTGCACTGAAAAGCTGGGAAAAGAGTCTTTTATGCCAGTATTGCATGATACTCTGTTTTTTTGCTGCTGCAGAATAGTGAGGTGGTTAAACCTGCATGATAAATCTTCTGATGATTACACAGGTATCATCAAATACAAAAGATGCCTGCTTTGCCTCTGCAGTTGAATGTTTACAGCAAATCAGGTAATAATCTGAAACGTGTCTTGTAGTATTTTGCTATTCCTGCTATAGTAGTATTTAGTTTACTTGATTGTGATCCTTTGCCTGTTACCTTTTCTTTGTTCACCTTTGGAGGAGAGGTCACTAAGAAGTTTCAGAGTTCCTGCTAAAAATGTTAGCAAATTTTGCCAATGGAGAATGAGCTATAGCCTCATAAATATGGCTTGAGATGTGTTAATAGCACACTATTTAGAATCAAAACTGTGAAGATGTCTAATCAAATATACAGGCGAATTTTCTAAATTTTGCCAGTTACGGCAAAATTACCTGTGTGTGGGGAGCTTTTCTGTGTCTGTTTGCTGACATAAGGACTTCTGCTGTAAGAACTTAAGTAGAAATTAAAAGGGTTATAGAAAGGAATTTCTCTCCCTTTACCGCAATATTAAAACATCTTAAAACTCGGAAGACAGTCTCACTTGCAGCAGTGTGCTTTGATCCAGTAATTACAGCCTGGGGTACTACACAGCCCTGGCAGCCACCAGTTGTGGTATGAATGGTCTGGCTTGTCAGGCACAGGGGCATGCTAGCTAGCAAACTGTCTTCCTGGTTTAGATCCAGGTGTGTAACTTCTTATTGTTACCCTGTTTTGTTCTCCAAATAGTACCACATTTACCCCAGCTGACAAGTTGAAGGTGATCCAGCAGACTTTTGAAGAAATCTCTCAGAATGTACTTGAGACTCTTCAGGAAGATTTTCTGTGGTCCATGGATGACTTATTTCCTGTTTTTCTCTATGTGGTGCTACGAGCCAGGTAGGCACTAAAAGTGGCATCAGTTATAAGCTGAGCATAGGCTTTTACCTAAACACTTCTGCTTCTCATTATAAGACTAATTGCTGGCTTTTTGTAACTTAAAAAATTTTCCGTTTTGGCTGTTTGCTTTGTTCTGAAAAAGTTTGAAGAGTTAACTGTGAAGTGGCTGTGACTTCAGAATGAGGTTAGGGAAAAGCATGTTTTATGCACAACACCATGTACAAAAAGTAAAAACATTATAATAGTATGTTTTGTTCACCTGTCCTCCCTCATGTGACAGGATAAGAAATTTGGGGTCTGAGGTGCACTTAATCGAAGACTTGATGGATCCTTATCTGCAGCATGGGGAGCAAGGCATTATGTTCACTACCTTGAAGGTATGAAAATTATTCAGGGTTATTAAAAGCTTACTTTGGAAATCAATCAGCTTTGAGCAGTGATGATTGGCTTAGGACAAATGAATATTAGGTTGTAAATTCTTTGACATTTTTATTGAAGATTTTTAGCTAGGATGAACAAGGAAACTTAAATTAGAGCTTAGGATAACCAGGTAGTGCTAATAATCAGTGCAATGTGCAAACGTACTTTATCCAAATGTAATATTGGTGGTTGTTGACTATTCTGAATGCTCACCTGGAGCTTCTTGTTCCCCTGCAACTTAACAAACCTTATTCCCTTGAAAAACTGGAATGAAGTGCTGCTTTGGAGATTAGCCATTCCAGTCATGTTTAAGTCTAACATTACATCAAGATGCTTCAGGAATTCAATTTTGGAAAAAAAAATAATTTAAAAAGTATTACCGTGTCACTCTTCACATTCTTTTTAGTATTATTCTGTTTTTAAGTATGGAAAAAGGCCAAGAATCTGTTTTGATTAATATCCTATTGTACACTAGGACCCCCATAATGAAAATAGGTTGTTTTGGTCCTAACTGTTCTCAAACAAGTGGGTCTTGTGACAATTCAGCTGGGTGGAGTTTTTTTGATGGGTTGTTCTGGAGAGAGGCTGTTAATCTGAAACTTAAATAGAAATCTTGCTATGTGTACATGATTGTATTGTCTGTCTGTGCAAACTGGAAATAACAGGTATGAAAAAAACCTCTGCATCCAGCTATTTCTATAGTACTGCAAAAAGGGAAGGTTTGAGTTGGTTAAAATTTATCAAAGAATCTATGTAGTAGAAGGAGAATATCATACTGCATGAGTCCAAGTGTTGTCTGAGACATTTATATTAAGTTTCCAGTCATGACCAATGCAATACATATTTGAACCAGCATTAAGGAGCGAGTAGCTCAGCAGTCCCAAATGATGCCATCTTTCTTCATTAAGAGTTGGACATAATCTGTAACTTAAAATCTCCTGTTGTTCTTTTTGCTAGTTTACGTATCAGAAGGTTCTCTCATGTGTTGAATGTCACTATGTCATCACTGCTTGTGAAAAGCCTCTGTTGTCTTGGATAGGAAAAAAAAAATCAACCTTTTTGTGTATGATGCTTTATCAGCTTGCTGAGAACTGGTATGTATGTTAAACTGAACTTTGTTTTAATTCAGGCATGTTACTACCAGATTCAACATGAAAAGCTTACCTAGACCATCACTTATGACCTGGCTCTGTGGGATAATCTACTCAGAGGAACTTCACAAACACCTGCTTTCTTCCCTGAAATGGCACTTAGAAAATACTGCTACAGTTCTGTTGTTACACATGAAAATACTCAGTTGTTTCTTCTGAACTTTCTGTTTTAAGATGAGAAAACTGCAGCCAGAGGCTATCTATGAAGTGGTGATGAAGCTAGAGACTTGATTTGTTGAGTACTGGCCAGGAAGAAATAACTTATTCTCACAGAAAGATTATTTACTCTTTTGAAATTAACAATGCTGCAAAAAGGCATGGCATCTACGTAAGAGTACGTGTGAAAGTCTGGACCGCATGGCTTCTAAAGCAGTGGGTTTGTTTTTATTATTCCTGGTCTGTCAACAGAGATGTTTAAAGAGAATGAATTGTACCACAGAACCATTCAGTCTTCCTGAATTAAGCTACTATGTTTGTTTATTTAAAAAAAGAAATATGTTAGTATTTATAATGGGTAATCTATAGTGTGTTTGGCTGTAAAGGTTTTGAGGCATCTGTGTCGAACAGCATTGCTGAATGCAGTATTAATGTGCTGTTGTGGAAATAATCATGCTGTTATGGACTTCCCTCTTTACTAGAATTATAAATATACAGGCACTCACCATTCTTTTTGTTTATGAAATAAATAAAAGGCACTGACCACTTCAGATTTTAGCACTGAATTAAATAATCAGTGTCCAGTTTCATTGGTCTGAGGACAAATGGTTTCTCTGGAAGCCCATGTGACAGGAGAATGGGAAAGTGCTCTTGAACAAGCTGACAGTGGATTAAGTTTGAGACTTTTGCTTGTTAGCTTTGGTGTCAGAGTGAAAAAAGCTAATAACCTTGTTGCATTTTTAAACATGTAGAGGACAAGTAATTTCCCTGGGGGATTTTTGTGTGTGTGTTCTGTGGTTTATGGTTAACTTTATTTATACCAATAACACTCATGGATAATTTGCGTATTGTAGGTGCTGTTCTTTACCATGGCTGACAGAAAAAAGAGGGAGAGAAGAATAGATTATAGAATGTTATAATGGTTTAAGTTATGTCAAACTACCATAGGTAATGCTAATCACATTTTTAAAATAGTTATTATGGCTTGTGTATTGACACCTAAATGGCAAGAAACCATATGTCGAAGTACTGTTTTGAACAGTGACTGTAATGTAGCAATTTTCATAATAAAGTAAAAAAGATTGGTCTTTCTGAAATTATTTTCAGTTTTATCAGAGAGGGGGGAAAGCGTAATTCTGGCAAGATGAAGTTTAGAACTGTTGTTGTGCTCCTTATACTCCCAACAGACTACAGAGATAATAGAATCTAGAGATAAGAGACTTCTACATGTTTGCAAGCAACATATAGAACATATGCACATCATCTTATAAAAACTAGTGATATCCCGTATTAGTTTAGCTTGCTGATTAATGGAAGCAGACAGCCGGGGCTGGATTATTTTTGGTCTTTCTGATACATTTATTAGCTGAAGAGAATCCTAGGATTACATGTGCTTCTGACACAGATTCCACTTCACAGCCTATGTGGGCTGTGATGCATTAGGAAATCACTACAGACCAGCTTTGATTTGTGTATTGCTGTAGCTAACAACAAAATGAGTTAACCTGCAGGACTTCCCTGGCTGTATTGCTTCATGCCAGTTACTATTTTCTTTTTTTTTTTTCTCTTTTTCCTTATATTGAAAGCTGGATATTTCTTGTGCTGCAGCAGAAATCCTGTAATCAGCAACAGAAGACCAACGTTACGTTGTTTCAGATTCTCACTGTAATTGCAGCCACAGTAGCTGAAGACAGACCCAAAGAGACGAGTGCCCTTGTTGACTGGAAAAGCTGCCGAGAATGAGAAACTACTTCAGTGAGAGACAATGCGAAGTAGGCTTTTTATGCAAGAAAAGGGTTAAGGGGATTTGTTCTCTTCTCCCTGGTAATGAGTAGTTCTAAGGTTAGGTTTCTGCGGATTAGAAAGGAGAGGATGTCTGTAGATTAGCTAGGGCAGGGAGGTTACTTGCTCTACTAACATCCAGCAAATACTCTTT